CTCTGCAACTCGGCTCGGGTGGGATCAAGGGGCGGTTGGTACGTCGTCCTTTCTCGGATACAGCTCGGTCCTGCAATGCTCGCTTAGCGTGCTCTCGCATGCACGCTTCCTCAGTCAGTTGCTCAGTCGCCCTAAGGTAGGCACACTCTTCAACCAAATTTGCCTGCGGCTCAGGCTGGCCCTCTCAAACGGAAATGGCGACGGGCTCGCCCAACACTGTCATGTTCAGCGTCCCACCCTTGACATCGATCATCGTATTCGTGGTCGCCATGAACGGTCGTCCAAGAAGAATAGTGTGACTCTTCTCATTCTTTTGCACTTTGCCCACATCTAGCACGACGAAGTCGACTGGCACAATCAGCTTTCCAACTCTAACAAGTACGTCCTCCACAATTCCCTCAGGCCGATGGAACGAGCAATCGGCTAGCTGTAGATGCATCTTGGTGGGCCTCAATTATCCGAGCCCGAGCCTCTGATAAACTGCTAGTGGTATGATATTGATGTCAGCTCCTAAGTCGAGCATGCCTGAAGTCTCTTCCCCTTTTTCGAAGGCCATAGTGACCACAAAGCCTTCGGGATCCTTTTCTTTCCTCGGCAAGTCATGGTGAAAGATTATAACGCCCCACTTTTTTTTAACGAAAATCAGAATAAATTTTTCAAAATTTATTTCAAAATACTTGGCGGCGCTACTACTTGAAAAAAAAAAAAACCATTTTTCATAACATCATAAACATAACTCCCAAACGGGTTCGTAAATCGAATCAACGCCCAAACCGGGTTCAACAATAACATTAATCTCCCAAAAATTGGATTTTCACAAATGCATAAATAATAGGGAGTACACTCCTTATCAATAATCTGGTAATCATCATAAATTCATAAATGCAGTAAACAATACTAAGCAGTTCATAGCAGCGGAAATGAAACCAATAACATGACCACCACTCGCCTCCTCTGTCGTGCCTGCAATACTAACCTGTATCCATGAAGAGCAGGTGGGGATGAACACAAAAGGAAACAGTAGTGCTCACCACTATGCAGTAAACATTAATCATAAATAAAACAAGTATGGTCACAGCATGTATACGTAATTAATTAGTTATCCCAACCTCCTATCCCAAGTTCGTTATCATGTGCACACCTATATCAATAGACTACTGCCGACTATATATCGAAAGCCACGGCCCTAGGCCTTCTGGTCTTACAACGAGTGTCCAGCCAGTAGGAGTCTCCCCCGAAGGCCCGGCCTCGCCATCGGACTTACATCGGGGTACTTATCGCTGACCGAGCGCAGCCCTGGTCTCAAGCGACGTGTCCTTCGCAATGACGTAAAGAGGAAATTACCCCATTGGGGTCGTTCTATAGTTACGGGGATAACCGTTCGACGGCCGTTACAGCTCCCATCGAAGGCTACATGTTCCACATGCATACTTTGATCATACTACAAGTAAAACAATAATAACTATATTAACATTTACAGCATAACCAATTTTTCAAAACCCACCTGGTATTCGAAGAAAGAAGCCACAGAAAATCGGGAGAAAAAGTAGGCCGAGAACACAGCTCGTCAAACACCTATATTACACAAAATAGTCTTATGAAAGACTATCCAACACTTGAACACTTATAACTACACTCATGCAATATCACTCAACCACATAGTTCAACAACGACACAAAACATAGTTACAACTCATAAATGAAAATGAACAACTCGCATGGTCTCAGTATTTTCAAGATAACATGAGTTATATATATGCTATTCAGGTGATTCCAAAACCAATGAGCAGCTAACACATATATCCTCAACTTTCATGTTGATTGCTTAAGCTAACAATAGCTTTAAAATCGAGTTTAAGCATAAAACACTTAGGTCAAGAAATCTGCCAACGCAACTTTTATCAATTACAGCAGGTCACTAAAACAGAGATATCTCATGCCATAAAACTCTAAATCATGCAAACTCAAAACCTACAGAAAATCCATTTTGATTACACTTTCATATTCCCACATAAGATCCTCAAAATCAGCCCGACATCATAGTCCTCAAATCTGCCCGAAATTACAAAAACTACTAGCATGAACAACTTCAAAAATTCATAATAAATTTAAATAAACTCTGAATTTCGAAATTCTAAAACTCACAGAAATCTAACTCAAAATACTACAATTCTTATAATGGTCACTTTTTCATTTGAATACATTAAGACATGATAAACGGATTAAACATAAAGCAAGTACATGCTGCCGGGTTTTAATAAAAACTGCATGCCTAACGATTTTGTAAAAATCATAACTTATTCGTTTCAAATCGAAATCACCTGATTCCAAAGCTCCCTTAAAGACAACAGAATAAGCTACATTTCATATGAAGGTTTCGACTTCAGAAAACAGGTGTTCGAGGGCCATTAAAGCAGTATAACAGAAACAGCGAATAAACGAAGAATCATGGATTTTGACAACCAAACTTCAACATTTAAGTCCCAACATCTTATGCATCACCATTAGACCTTAACAACACCATTTATCAGCTTAATTAAATGAAAATAACTATACTCAATATGCTCTATTCTCCAATTCAATATCTCACAACAAGAACTCAAGCAATATACACAATCACATAAAATAACGAGCACAATGCAAACGAATTCATAAAAATAACGCCCCTCGCATGCATACTCCTCAAGGCATCGACATAAAATACACACTCAACGCAA